TTACAAAACTAAACAGCCTACAGTATTTTTACAGTCTTTATTTTACAGTTAAAATATATGTTTATCAAATAAAGTCTAATGTTACAACTAAACAGGTATCCCTTTAAGTGAAGCTAATTTGTTGAGCGCATCATTCATTATCTAAATCGTCCACAGGTGAGTTTGCAGCCTGCTAATGTCATGGACCTGTTCACTACCAGTCTGGCCCTGGCTGGCGTCGACCCTCCTGGTGACCGGATCCTGGATGGGCTGGATCTGACGCCGGTCTTGTTAAACTCCTCTGAGGAATTTGAAAACAGGTGAATAAAAACACTAGTGCCATTTTATGTTCTAGTTGACTTCTTCCTTTTTTTCTCCTGGGAGTTAGATTCCCAGCATCTCAGTAGTTGTGTCCAAATTCAGGGGCTGGGTCCTCCGAAGACCGAGTTTATTGGCCACTTACATCACAGCGCCGTGCCGGAGGCTGTTCAAATTTGAAGACTCCTCCGATGCAAATTCACAGCCACTTTTTCCGGTCTTCGCAGTCTACCAAGGACCTGGCCCACCTACACCATGTAGGCAGTGTCCTTTGAAGGACCCAGCCTCTGAATTTGGACACAGCCAGTGACTGGTTCCTGCATTAAAAAAATCCTCCAAGGGATGAAACCCAGGAGAGATCAAAGCTAAAAGTCCAGGAAATGAAAATGAGCAGGAGTCAAAAGTTATTGGTCAGTGTTCTTGAAAACTTAGCTGTGATTGGTAAAAATTGCAAGAATGACCAAATTTTGGAAGGATTGGTTGAAATTGCCATAATACTTGTAATGCTGCAACTTCCTGGAGGAACAGATTCAGGTTTTGTTCACTAGCATCAGTCCACTTTGGGTTTAGTTCTGTTCGGTCCAGTCTCAACTAATCTGTATTTTCTAATCTGTAATAAAACATGATAGTTTGAGGTTAGTTATTATAGGTTATTTATCATTATTTCTGACTTTTTTTCCCCTAACAGACCTACTTTTTACTATCGTGGGAATGAGCTGATGGCTGTGAGGGTTGGTCAGTACAAGGCACACTACTGGACCTGGAGCAACTCATGGGAGGAGTTTAAAAGTGTAAGACTTCAATTTCGATGCCTCGGCTTTGTCCCACCTCTGTTCCCTCTGTTCTCGATTTGCTCTGCCACTTTGTACCCGTTTGTCTTTTTTAATCTCGCCGAAACACACACAAACACTTTGGCTGTTGTTTGTGTTATCTTCCACATTGGCTCATCAATTGACTGCTGCGTACATCAGAGTGGAATGAATATTAATGAAGAACCCCCCACATGTGTGAACTTGCATCATTCATCAACCAGTTGACTTGTTTGTTCAAACTCTGGTGGAAAATTCCCTCCCCCCACAGATAAATTTGCATATTGTCATCTCACTTCCTGTTCTRTTTTGGGTCAGTTATCCACTCCGTGTAAACCTATTCTACGAGAACCTTTTTTTTTACATTATCATCTAAAACAATTTTGTTGTTGTTGTTTTTTAAACATGGCACTATTTTTAGTAACGTTTTCATCCACACAGAAACAAGCAAACAAAGATTGAAAACGATGTAGTAGCTATGACAGGCCTMTATGGGGCACTGTGACATCATCACTAAAATACATCAGAAACAGGAAACAAGACATGGCGTGTGCAGATAAAGTCTGTTTCTCTGTTCGGGGGCTGCATTTGTCGGCTGCTTATATCACTGCCATGRGCCGAGGGCTGTCCCGATTCGATGGCTCCTTTTCATGCGGCCTACAAATGCTGTCCACAAAATCCTGAAAGTGAAGGATGCATCTGTGCATCCTTCCTGAACGAGAATATCCCAGGATTCAATGCGCTGTCAGCAAACTAAACAGAAAAACAAAGACAAGTTTTTTTTAAACAAAATAACAAGCTTTACACAAAATACCAGTTGATCTTACTGTTTTTCTGCAAAAGAATCAGTATTTTGTTTCCAAGTTAGTTTCTCATCGACAATAACTCTGGAACTTTGCTATTTTTAGTCCATCAATGTATAATCCCACAACTTCTTTACTAAATCTTTTGTTTTTTGTACTGAACATCATGAAATTAGTTATTTGAATATTAAGAGACAGTTGATTAACTTTAAACCATTCAGAAATATTAGACAATTCTTCATTTCCTTCTCTTATCAGGACATCTAAATTAGAATGTAATAATAAAAGACAAAGATCATCTACAAACGTAAGAGATAGTGCACTTTTACATTTATTAAATCATTAATTATAAATTAAAAACAGAAAAGGTCCTAAAACGTAACCCTGAGGAACCCCACAAACTAATTTAGCTCTATTGGAAGATTGATTGTTGTTAATGTGTTTTATTCATTTACATGTAAGTTTTTTAACTGTGAAGTTAATTCTTCAGTAAAAAGACARGCCCCAAAGCATTTTAGGTCTGATGGCATGTGAAATTAAACATAACTTTGGCAAAACAGGTTGCCTTCAGCTCCAGGCCTTCCTTGCAAAAGAGATCTGTGATTTCAGTGGAATTTGCCTGGCTAAATAATGGTAAATAAGTAACAACGTGGTAACGGGGTAGCGTGTCATCATGCAAACATACGTATCAAAGATGTTTTATGCAGCCTACATGGCCTAAGTAGGCTGCTGCCCCTGAATTGAGACACAGCCAAAGTGACACCTCCAGAAACTTTTTTATGGGGTTTAAATAGGAAGTGGAAAACTTTYGAAATATGAGAGTTAAGGAATTACCAACTAAAGTACCTCAGTTTCTCTTATTACTTAAACTTAGTAATATTGTCATTAGATACTGAAAAAGAAAATAAAATGTTTTTACTTATTCACAAATATCTTTCCTGAGTAGATGGGCCCTGAAAATAGAAGAAATGTGAAACTGGACACCTGAGCAGCAAGACAATATGAGGCTTTTTTCCCCCTCATTCTGTCCATGAGAACATGTCCTCCTGTCCTGTCCTCCCTCCATGGTTATGCTTTTTCTGTCATCCAGTTTGTTTTATGCCCCATCGGTCGTTTAAATTGCTCTCTCCTTCAGGGCCGTTGAATCAATAGTAGCCTCCTTTATCAACTCATGTGAACTGAAGTGGAACTTCACAAATAATGGCGTCTGATTGCCTGTGAGTTGCCTATCGATTGCCGTGTGTGTGAACATAGAAGAAAAGGGGGCGAAGAGAAAAAATGCACAAAGACGTTTTGGTCTGCATACAGTGGAGTGTGTTTGTGTGTGTTTCATTGAACGACTGTTGAATTTCCACAAAGGACACTTAAATCTCCAGATATTATCTTTGTGTTTGGGTTTGTGTGTCGTTCACCACTGGATATTTTATAAACATTCATCCAAGATAAACCTGAAGGGATGTGAGCGGGTTAACTAAGATGGAGATAAGAAACAAACAAAAAAACTTTTATATCAAGTTTGTTTACTTTTTTGTCAAACATGGAACAATTTTACTTGTTTAGGCTGAATAATTTCTGTCAAAATTGGTGTATAAATGAAAGGAAGAACATTTTTGAACTARGGTCATAATCTAAATAGGGCTGTGTATTTGCAAGAATTTGGTGATAGTATACATGCAGGGGTCACAATACGATATATRGTGATATATTGCAATACTGTAAGAAAGACTTGCATTATTGTCAAAWATATATATWTTTAAAAACMTAGGATGTTTTAGATGTATTTTGTTTGTTTCATATTTCTTATTTCATTCACATTTTCAACAGTTAGGCCAAATGTGCCATTAAATAGTTTGATAATGGCTCAGATTCAGCCATAGGTGCATGGTGCTAAGCTAATGTTTGAGCTACTCTCAGACTGCTGCCAACTGGTGGTCGGAGGCTAAACTACAACACAAAAATGAACCATTGGCAGGAAAGTTTACATTTTAAACCTTGATTAAAAATTGATACASGGCTTTWGAGAATCGATACAGTATCGGGAAATGAAATTTGGCGATATTTCAWTGTATCGATATTTTCTTACACCAGTAAATCTGCATGAGTTTTTCATTCAAGGCGACGGTGAATGATATTGTTTTGCCTATGGCTGGATATGCGCATTTGTTGTTTTGCTTTTTGGCTTCTCCCTTCTTCAGGGGTCGCCACAYCAAGCGAACCTTCCTGATGCAACCTGGGCTCAAATCTGCAGCTTCAGGATTAAAAAACCTGCAGCACTCACCACTGAGCTATCGCGACCACTATGCTAATATCTTACTAAAATATCTCACAAAACACCYGARGAGTTTTTATGAAAATTGCTGAAACTACAAATCTCAGTTGAACAGACATTGGGCTAAAATTTGATATGGTAGTATAGCTGAGAATCATCCGCAACATCTTGGTGCATAACATTTTTTTTCAAGGTTTGACCAAAACCGGTCCAACTCTGTCACTTCTTAGCATATGATTTAAACTCGGTGCATTCCTTCAAGCAATGCTAGATGCCAAGTCTCATCTTTTCCAAAATTCCTTTCATCACTACAGATGGTTCTGCATCTTATCTCATCCCGACTGCTGAGCCTCAGTTTGAAAGCAGCCTTTCTGTATCTGTAATGTTAAAGTCATGTGAGATACGGAGTTCTCGCTGTAATATCTCCGGCACAAGAAGAGACAGAGGCCAGGAGATACACAGAGCTGTCTTTTCATGGCTCTCCTCTGGGATGAGTTTTTTTTTCATTCTTTTCTGCATTTCTAAGCTATTGGCTTCAAAAGATACAAGTGTGGATCAGCGTGGAGGAGGGGGGTATCACTCCTCACTTTCGCTCTCTTTCGTTCCTCTATATGTATCCTGAGGTGCTCCAATGAGTGATCCCAGAGGGGGGGAGCGCTACAGTACCTTACAGATGAATGCCTTTTCAATATTAGCTTTGCTCATCAGAAAGTGTGTGTTTGTGTACGTGTGCTCAAGCACCAGGGGACGGGGTGGGGTGGGTGCGCTCCGGGGGGTCCTGGAGGAGAGAGTGTGACTCAATCAGGCTGCGATTACTGCCAGCCTCCTGAGGAAGAGTCAGGGGGACTAAGAGATGAAGYAGAAGAAGGAAAAGTCCACTTTTCTCAGGAGCTCAATGAATAATACAATGGACTGTTGGACAATATTGCTTAAATGTGGACTAACCATATATAAACAAATATACAACCCCAATTCCAATGAAGTTGGGATGTTGTGTAAAAAAAAAGAAGAAAAAAAAACAGAATACAATGATTTGGAAATCCTTTTTAACCTGTTATTCAGTTAAATACACTACAAAGTCAATATGTTCAAACAGATTTTTATTGCAAATCTTCACTCATTTTGAATTTGATGCTGCAACATGTTCCAAAAAATCAGGGACGGGGTTATGTTTACCTCTGTGTTCCATCAGCTTTCCTTTTTACAACACTCAATAAGTGTTTGTGAACTGTAGCTGGAATTCTTTCCATTCTTGCTTGATGTTTAACTTCAGTTGCTCAGCAGTCCGGGGTCTCTTCATAAAATGTGTAGCACCTTTATTCTGTAAATTAAAACTGTTAAATATGTTTGATATAAACACATTTCTTWRTTGTACATTTGTGTTCAGAGTTCTGTATGATATAAATCGGCCTTCCTATATCAAAAGTTATTTTCATATCAACTCACAAATTCATAATTATCCTACTAGGAAATCTTGTAATTTGCATCTTCCATGATACAAAGTCATTGAATGACCAATTCTCAGTCAGATTTTATGGAGCTAAAATGTGGAATTCAAACGTTGAACTTGTGGAACCTTCAGTATCTCTCTGTGTCTATAAAAATAGATTAAAAACCAAGCTGTTGATTTTGAAATGTGAAATTTGAGTATTTTAAATTGATATAGATTTTTCTTATTTTTGTATGGCTTTTGATGGATTCGAAATTGGGAATTTTGATGTTGATTTTTGTATTGATATTGTTGTTTCTTTTTCATTATTTTTATTTGAGTGGTTATTTTAAGGTTTTTACTGTTGTGCTGTAGTTTGATTTGATTGTTTCTACATACGCCTATTTAGGCTTTTACCCTTCCCTTGAACGTGAAATATATCATTTTGAATTGTTGTGTTCTTTTTGTTTTTGTTTTTCTTTTTGTGTGTTAAATAAAATGGAAATCAAATCAAAAAATCAAATGGGAGACAGGTTGCAGCATTGTCTTGCTGAAATCAGCAAGACGTTCCTGAAAATGACGTGGCTTGGGTGGCAGCAAATGCTGCTCCAAAACCTGTATGTATCTTTCAGCATTAATGGTGGCTTCACAGATGTGCCATGGGTAATACACCCCTATACCATCAGAGAGGCTGGCTTTTGAACTTTGCGGTGATAACAATCTGGACAGTCTTCTTTATCTTTTGGGGCAGCTGTGGCAGAGATGTGTTGCTGTAGATGTAATGTTCTTGGGTTTTTGTTGTGTACAGAGTTAAATCTTAACATTCCTTCCTCCTGCCTGCAGGACAGACCTCAGACTTTAGTGTTGCGTTGCTCCAGAGGCAGGCTGACCTTCATTTAAAATTTACGAGACATTTGTAGCCAAAAAGTGGCAGTTTCGCTCCTTCCTACAAGAGATTCTTCTTATTCCAGAACACGCAGGGAAGGCAGTGACCTGGGATTTCTGGATGAGTGATYATTTGTGAGTTTAAAGAACACAAGCTGCGTCAGGCTTGTAAAATGACAGATAATTCAAGAACAAGGACAGAACAAAAGGCATCTCTGATCTTTAGGGGTCATCGTCTTTTTATTTCTACTCTTAAGTCATTTTTATCCATTTATGCACTTATTCTATCAATAATGGATGCGGCTTTCGAAACAATGTGACTCAGTAGTTTTAACTTGTACTTAATTGTGCTCGATTAAAACTAGAACATGAAGAAATGTCACTAAATTGCTTTACAACGTGTGCCTTCTCTTCCAGGGTATAAATTTCTGTCCAGGTGAAGAGGTCCCGGGTGTGACGACTCATAACCAGACAGAGCACACCATGCAGCCGCTCATTTTCCACCTGGGGCGGGATCCTGGAGAGAAGTTCCCACTCAGGTAAGTCGCTCTGAGACTTCAACTTATCACCTGTGGAAAGACGGCGCGGAGCAGAGCAGAGACGAGCGAAGAAGCATGGAATTAAAGAGCCGTGGAAAAGAGGAGAAACAAAAATGAAAGGGGCGAGGTTATAAAGTGTTTTTATTCCTGTTGTGCAGAACGTGTGTGAGATCAATYTGAATTCAGCGGCATGAAAAAAAAACGAAGGCGGCGGATTGATCCACTCAGCCAGAGCGCTCGTGATTACACCCTCCTCTTTGTGATTGCAAACGGCTTCTTTAAAGATCGCTATCTGGCCATCGGGCCTCCTCCGGCTGGATGGCTCGCGGGTTAAAATTGCGAGATGAATCGTTCGGGTCTAAATGGAGAGCGAGTGCTGTTTAATGTGTTTTTGTGCGCGCCTGCTTCAGCCGCGGAGGAGAGTTAAGAATCGCTGTTGGGAGGAGAGTGACGCCACCGAAACTATAATTAATTTAAAATCCCAGCATACCTTTAGAGAAAACGTTTCACCTGCCGCGACAAAGTTGTTTGGTCCATTGATAAAAACATTATGTACAACCTCGTGTGTTGTTGCCATACTTCACATTTTGTTAGCAGTTAAAAAAGAGCGGGTGTGAAACTTTTCAATGTTAAAATGTCCCTACCTCATCAAAAACACTCAGTGTTGCTTTGACTCATTCATGCATGTTTGAGAAATCTTTGAATCAATCTCCTGTGGTAGCCATTCGGAGGTGCAACAACACGTTCTCATACAAAGCACCACCTATTTACACAGAGCTCCTCCCTGCCGCTCAGTCTGCAGCTGACAACAGAGCACCCCCTGCTGTGTGCCTCCCACACAGCTCCACCAGACCAGCAAAACATATCTTAAAAATGGCGAATGATTTTGTTGTGAAACTTAGCTTCGTAATTATCAACATATATTTATAGTTTCTTTGCAAAAGGTAGCCTAACATTGACATTTACGTATGAGAGGATGGCTGGGAGATATACCAAGCTGAAATATCTTTTCTAAAACTGATATATAATGTTGCCTTTTTTTGGGACAAAATACAGTGGTCCTACAAAAGGTTATAAATGGCATTAAGCATTGTTGAGAAGGCTAAACAACCTGATAAAGAAGGCTGGTTCTGTTCTGGGGACAACTGTGGAATCTCTGGAGATGATGGTGCAAAGAAGGATTTTACATAAAATCAAGAACATTGTGGACAACCCTGACCATCCTCTTCATCAGACTGTCAGAAAAACAGTCTTCAGTCGAAGGCATACTCAATTCTGTTACAGACCGCTGCAGAAGACGTTTCCTGCCCACAGCCATCAGCATCTACAATAATTCTTTAGTTAAATGAGTTACAACAACACCTAATTTCCCTCTGGGATCAATAAAGTATTTTTGAATTGAATTGAATTGTATTACTAGAGGTGCTAATG